CCCAAGGTGTTGGTTTTGTAACAACTTTTACTCGTCCATCTTGAAGGCATTTCGCATCTTTCGGAGGTTCGTCGTAATGAAGATTCGGAGGTATAACTCCCGTCTCCATGGCAATTAGTACCTACAAATTGATACTATGTAATAATAGTTGTAGTGGTACCTACAACTTAAACACCAATTACACTTGAGTCAAGAATAATTTACCTTTATGATAGAATTTACTACATTCATGTTCATTGTATGACCAATGTTTGATTTGATCGATCCTATTAAGAGTGGATTTAATGGATTGCGATTTTCCCCATAAATTGAATCTATCGCTTTCAGTTCTTCGCGATCCATTGATTTGACCGCTGTTCCATCGGCTTCGATATAATTTATATCGGTCGGTTTCAAACCGCAACGTGTTAAAGTTTGTTTCATTATTTCAGCTTGGAATTCTGCTGTGGGATATAGACAAGCGTTTCTTGGAATATTATCACCGTACATTGTAAGGATATTAACAATCTCGGCGTAAATCCGCTTTGCGTTTTTAGCTCTTTGAAGAAAAATCGCTCCTATCGACTCGCTTCTTGAGAATCCACTAGCTTTCTCGTCAAAAGATCTATTCATTCCGTCAGGTGACAACAATCCTATAAATTTGTTTTTCTTTTATTTCTTTTAACAAAAAGATCAACATTGTCAAATGATAATTGTATTCTTTGATTTTACCTAAGTTTGACAAGTGGTATGATATTTGTGGATGCAATATTGTAATTCCACTAACAATGATCGCGTAATCACAAATTTTACACTTTAAGTCTTCGTATGCTTTTTGTATACCCACTCCAGAAGATGCACAATCCGAATCTATAGTACAGCTTGAGCCAATAAAATCCAAACAAAAGGAAGTTCGGTTTGATATCATAGCGCGGGAGCTGCCCATAAGATTATGTCCAGTTTGCTATGATAATAATGACAAATATGAAAATAATGGCGAATTATTTATTTCATTACCTTTTAATTACCTCCATTTTGGCGTAGAACAGACCTTTATCTGTCTCGCCTAAATTCGTTGCTCCGTAAACATTTGTTTTCATGCTTCGTAACTCGACGGGATTTATTCCAGCGTCAGTTATCGCTTCGAACGTTATTTCGGTTGCCATTCTTGATGCCGGGTCAATAAAATGTGCCTGTTTTGCATGTACTCCAAAAGAAAGGTTATCAAATTTTCCTATCTGTGACATCGTCCCAATACGCGCTGGAACTCTGGCATTATCTGACAAATAATCATATATTCGATGGATCACTAATACCAATATTCTTCATATTTAATAATTTTAACCTGTTAACCGGGCGGGACGTATAAATACTCCAAACATATTGCTTAAAAAGTTCCCAGCTAAGCTCTTTTTTACTTGACTTGTTATTCAGACCAATTTATTTTGCTTTAACAAAATCAATCATTACTTGTTTTTATTAATTATTGTATATATGTATATACATTAAACAGACTTATGTGCTTTGTTCGACTTTAATAATAAACATAATAATCTCGTTTAATAATAAATAATAATTAAACGAGAAAATATATATTTCATAGTCTTCTAATTTATTTTAAGCATAAATAATAATAAAGAATAAATAAATAATAAAAAAATCATAAAAATAGCTACGTAATTAAAAAGGCAACTACCCGGTAAACAGGTTAATAGTTTTAGGTAGAAATGAATTTTTTTTGTACTTACTGAATTTCCATCTTGTATGATCCGATGACACGCAATCTTTTCCATTAAATAGATTTTCTATTAACTCGTTGATATTATCACTCTTTGGAAATTTTCCAGATATTCCAGAGATGACAATCGCATCATCGTCAAAATCTTTTAACGTCATATTATTAGAATGTGTCGACAAGAACAATATTATCGAAATGAACTCTGTTAGTCTCGATGAAGCTTTTATATGAGCGATTTGTACGAATCTTTTGTCTCTTTTTATTTAACGCTAAGAATAAATTTAAATAACATAAATCTAATTTAATTAACAATTCAAAAAATTTACTATTTTAAACGGATATTTATTCGTAGTAAAAAATTTTTTTTTTTTATATCTAAATACATTAAATCAGTGTTGAGCAACTCGTTGCCCACCAAACGCAATTCTCGCATTAAAATTTTTAAGCATATATGACTTAATATAAAATAAAATAAATGTAAACATATTCTTAACATATAATTGGTTTTATTAACAAACAAAACAAAGTTTGTTCATTAAAATAATGGCGCATTAATATTAAACAAATCATTGTGAAATATACTTTTGTAACTCCTGCTTTCAAAGTTTAATTTTTTAGCCTTGTTTAGCAACCGTAAAGTCGCATATTCCCGTGATGATGGTAACTATGTAGTAACTATGGTTGTTACTATAGTAGTGTGCGGGAAAGTAGTACTTTCCAACCGATTGACCGTGCGGGAATGAAAATTTTGGTAACTATGTTTAATTAAAATTAAAAAAAAAAGTTGTTTAAAAATCCACGTGTACAATGAATGAATTAACGAGACCTTGTACGCCTCCAGACCTAGTATCTGCTGCTAAAAATGTTACACATGACATCTTTATTTAAAATGTAACCCTATTATGGATTGATTAAAAGTTTTTGGTAACTAATATAGTTAAGCCAATTACAACATTTCTTTGTAAATGAATAATTTCTCTCTATTGAACTTTGAAAGCAGTCGTTACAAAAAATATTGTTCGATAAATATGTCCTAACTGAGGCATTCACAGGGCTTAATTAAGTCACTCGCCAGAAGAAACAAGGCGTTTACGACGAGACCGAGTACGCTTACCATCACTCGCCTAACGGCTCATGGGGGTAATCTGCATACTCGGCCCCGTTGTAAACACGCCGTTTCTTAGGCTCGTGTTTCAATTTTTTAGCCCTGGAATGCCTCACTTTGCACACATATATCAAAAATATCTATTAAATTCGTAATACCACGATGTGAAATGCGTATCTCATGTAATTCTAATACACACGTGCAGACTTTTAAATGATTTATATCAAAACTTGAACAACAGGATGAATAACCAATAACTTCATATTATTTTATACTATTTATATCTAGCCTTATTCCATGTAAATTAATCGTATTTAGCAATTAGCATATCTGTACATGTTTTAACACGTAATAGGCTTTTCTTTTGTATTACGCAATTGAAAATGAATACACAACGGAAATAGATACTGACACAGTAAACGCTGTTTTGAACTATTATAATATTGTTTATCATACGAAAAAGAAATATTCATTAATTTTTCATTCCACTTACGAAATAATAGGAAGGTGACGTGAGAATAAATTCTTCAAAAAATTTCCGATAAACAATATTTTAATTAACAATATGTTAATAACACCCAGTATCTTAAATATTTTATAAAACAATGTATATATAAAGTATTTAATATGTAAAAGAAGAGCAATTTTCCTTCGTATAGTAAGGCTAAAAAAAATTGAATCTAGCATATGAGAAAGGTGTGCTATAAAGTACAAAGCCTGTCATGCAAAGAAATACTATATTTATATACAAATTTCTATATAAATCATAACAAATTTTATTATACAATATAACTGTATTATATATACTATCAAAAAAAACATGTATGCATATCACACAAGTTAGAAATAAAATCTTTAAATAACAAGTTTTGAGGATAATTTATTATTTCATATTATTATAATATTATTTGTACTTTTAATTTGCAATTATTAATTTAATTATAAAATGCGCGCCTGTTCACTGGCAACCCTCCAGACACACTTTAAAAATGTGTGGTATCACTGCTTACTAATACCACTAGATTAAAATATACAAAATGATTACGTATATAGAAAACTTTATTGATAAGTCTGTATCTCTAATATGTATAACAAGTACTTAAATTCAGTCTTGGAACACGTGGTGAATACAATGCGTCTGTTTTATCATTTGAGGTATAGTTGTATAAGCGGCCTGTATAGGCGTGACTGTAGATACGTGTGTAGGGATCCTATAGGAGGGATGCGCTATGTACATTGCTGGGGGACCGGAACTCGATTTTGCACGCGAATGATTCAAACATTGAAATAATTATGAAATAATGAATTGCATCAAATACAGAAAAAAATGAACTATATTTAATGATAATTAAAAATTTATATTAAAATAGAATAGGTTACACGAAAAAATTATTATAAATTCAAGCGGTCCCCCAAAATTTTTAGCCAATGGCGCATGAGCTGAATTTGAATGGCGCATCCCTCCTACAGGATCCCTATACGTGTGTAGAGGGTTTCTCTAGAGTAAAAATGAAATTTGACTGAACTTTCTTTGTTACTTTTATTTAAAGGACGAGACTTGCTTTTTTTTGTTGTACACTTATCAACGGCTACGTACAGACTATTGACAGCTTCTTGTAGCGTGGTTACCTAGCCTTCTAGTAACTTTAGAGGGCGCGACCTTCGGTCGTACCGCTATATTACTCCCCTCGGAGCATTTTTCTTATTATATATAATGCGAAACTTAAATCTATAGATGTTTACGTGTATATAAAAATATATAAAAATATATAAAAATATTGTACTATCTCTATCCTAACTTAATAAGTTTTAATTGGTACATATGAATCAGTATTACAATCTTTCTCGACGAACGCAGGTTTTAGTCTTTCAATAGATACATTTATATGTTTTCCTTTATAGTTAATTTTGAAAATATTATCTGTAATTCTCTGTATAATTTCGTATGGACCTTCGTAAAGCGCTTCTAATGGTTTTTTTTTACAGCGTCGACCCTTAAAAATATGTGCGTATATGTATACAACCTATCCTGAATAAAGTGTTTCTTTTTGATATGGTGCGCTGTGAGTATCGGTCTTATTTGCCTTATATGTTGTCATAGTTTTTCTAAGAATATGAGTGGATCTTGTAATAGTTCTTCGCTGAGGAAAAATTCTCCTGGTAGTCTGATGTTTTCACCATATACCAATTCCGCAGCTGAAGCTTTTATATCTTCCTTTAGGCTTGTGCGTAGACCAAGGAGTACTGTTGGTAGTTTTCCTACCCAGTCTTTTTCTTCATGGCACATTATTGCTGCTTTAAGTGATCTATGCCATCTTTCTATCATTCCGTTTGATGCAGGGTGATATGCTGTTGTTCTAATTCTTTTCGCTTCGACTAATTTGGTTAACGCTTCAAATAGTTGACTTTCAAATTGCGTTCCTTGATCAGTTGTAATTGTAATAGGAGAACCAAATCTTGATCCACTACGAAAAGAATGTTGTTGCCACTGTATCTGCTGAGGYATCTGGCATTGGAATTGCTTCTGGCCACCGAGTAAACCTATCGATCATAGTTAGGCAGTATTTCATATTTTTAATCGTTGGTAATGGACCTATTATATCTATRTGTAMATGTTCGAAACGTCCTTGTGGTACTTCTATTTTCGAAGGTACCTGTTTGTTATGACGACTTATCTTGCACCTTTGGCATGCTAAACATGTACTTGACCATTCTGCAATATCTGTGTTCATCTTTGGCCATACGAAGCTTTTTCCTATTAGATGTTTTGTTATTCTGCCGCTGGGATGTGACAAATTGTGTACGTTCTTAAAAATCTGCCTCCTTAAAAAGACCGGAATGTATGGTCTTATGCTTTTTCCCACTATGTCGCCATAAATATATTTATCAGAGCTATCGA